AGAGAAATTTCGATCACTCGATCATATAAAAAACTTATCGATTAAATTTGTTAAAAAAAATTTTAATACATTTTAATGTTTGTGATAATGTGATAATAATTAAATAAACAATAATAAAGTAAATAAATTAGATGTAATTAAAATGTAGTTATTAAGAGAAAGAAAAAAAAATTTAAACAAATATTTTAATTAACTATAAAACAAATATTAAATATTTTAATTATTAATAGTTATTTAAATGTGTATTAAAATTGACATAGTATTTGTCATCTTATCAAAAAACAAAAATTACACGAGTATTTGTGTATTATAGTTAATTAAAATTTATTAAATTTATACATGGATATATAATAGATAAAGTATTAAATATAGAACCTGTTAAATATAGAAAACAAAAAGAAATAAAAATCTTAAAAAATTGTCTGTTCTTTTTTTTTCTAAAACTATAATTTTTTAAAACATATTATAAGATATAATTTTTTTTCTTATATTATTGCAAAAATCATATTACATTTTGAGAAACTAAATTAAATGAAACTAATTAAATGTATTAAAATTTTGAATTTTATATGTATATTTTTATAGAACGAAAAAAAGAAATATGAAAATATACACATTGATAAAATTTCATAAAATTTAGTTAAACTACATTATTTCTATTTTATGTACTTACTACTTTTATGTTAATAATAAATCAATGAATTTAATAACAGAAATTCATACATGTACGGAAATTTTCCGATTGTCAACTTACCCACGAGGAGTGTTCTTGGTATTTTGCTGTGTTTTGCGCTTCTCACGAGAATGGATCCTTGGAAAATCGTCGATTCGCTAAAAGATTAATTCGTCAAGAATCTACTCGTGTAATCCCTTTCGATCGATATTCAATATGTTTCTTCTATTGTCACAAAAACGTGAATTTTATCTTTATTACATGCGTATAACCACTTCGATTGAACGCGCCCTGAGTACTGAAACAGAATTGAGCGCTACTGTGTGTTGTATCATTGAAACGTTTCTAAAAGAGGGCGCATGTCATTTCTTCACTATTTATACATATATATATATATATATATATATATATAATATTGTAAGCCATTTATTAGATTTAAAATAGTAATAATAATTTTTAAAATCCTATATTTACAGCTTAATAAATTATAATTATAATTATAATTATATATATATATAATTATATATATATATATATAATGAAAATAAATCTATTGATTAATCGATTTTAATGACCTTGAAATATATTGCAAAGGATATTATTTTAAGCAATTAAAATAATTGCTTTTTTTTGCACAGAACTGGCATTTTCGAATTTTTAAAAAACTTTCGATACTATTACATTAAACAATGATTTTGTTTTTTAAGAAGATAATGAAAATTATATAAAATTGATAAAAATGACTGTGAATTATTTAAATTATTTTATTCACTATTAATATAATTTATTAAAATAATCTTATTAATTTATAATATTCAAAGGCAATATTAGAATATGAAAAAGAATAAGCAATTTGGAATTGTAATTTACTTTTTATTTTAGTTTAGTTTAAATTTTTTATATTTTTGTACGTGTGAATAGTATACGTTTATACGTGAATGTGTGTATGTATGTATGGTTGAGTACGTGTAGCTGTGTGCACATATACACATTTATACAATTCAAAAAATGGGTTGTCTAATAAAGTCTAAAAAGGAGTCTTAACATAAGTCTTCGCGTTCCATTTGCAATGGAATAAATTTGCTTGTAACTAAACTTGTAACAAAACCGTTCTTTTAGCAGGATAATCGTGCGCATTAATTTATCGAAAAATTTACTAAAAAAAATATCATATCAACGTTTAATATAAACGTTAAATTATTTTCAATTAAAACGTTATTGCTACAATATTTAAATGTAAAAATATTTATATAACGAAAATCGATAGTATTATTTTCTTAAAAAAATAACAAAAGCAATAACTTATGTATGCAATTAGATAATAAATCATTTTTTTTTTAAATTTAATAATTTAATAAACAACGCAAACAACACAATTGCCCACGAAAATCCAGAGTACCAGCGATCACGGGGGATCACTTTTGGACCACGTACAACAGTTGTAGAATATATGCTAGATTCTAGAATATGTAAAACTAAAGGAACGATTTTGCTCGAATTTCCCTGTTTTACAGTTCAAAAAGAAACTCTTAAACTTGGATTTGCATCATGTTGTAAAACCGAATTATCATCGTTTCCTTTTTTCTTTCTGCGTAGACTTTAAGCCACTTTCAAATGGTTTAAGCGATTGTTTCAAGGTTATCAACCGTGGATAATAGGATATCTTATTAATAAAGAGGTAGTGAGAACGTTCCGGTTATTGAGTTAACAGTCAACAAGAGAAATCTTTGAGAAGGAAATTCAACATTTAAGACACACTTGGTGGACACACTTATCACCAATTTTAATTAAATTCTCAAAACGTCTTTCGTCACGTATGGAAACGTATCCTCTCGTTCGCTTGAACAAAAACATGCATTTTAAAACCTCGTATATACGTTAGACGTAAATTCGCTCCGCTTTCACAAATATAATATAGAAGTTCTCACTAGTCCTTTTACAAAAAATTATTATCCCATATACCTCGTCTTAATAACTACTTAATAGCTACTTGACGAAAGTCACACACGACTCGGTTTCGATATATTTGAAATGCAGTTTTTTTGTCTCCATAATAAAATATTACTTTTATTACATCTCGTAAACGCCTGTAAGGCCGCGTATGCATAATCACGCTACCATAACGCGAGCACATGCACTGTAGAACTAGTTATTGTACCATGAAAGAATAAATTATTACTCGAATTGGCAAAACGTGCCGATAGATTTATATATGTATATACGTAGATATATTAAGACGCAAGGATAAACAAGTAATTCATACATAGATATCTGTTTTCCTTTTCTTAAATATCGAAGAATGGATTTCTTTTTTTTTTTTTTTTTTTTTTTTTTTTTTTTTTTTTTTT